ATACACTGGATTTTGGGACAGTTGGTCCTGGATTCAAATCCTAACTGTACTACTCTCAGCTAGAAGACCTAAAACTAACTCAGGAACCTAAGCTGAATTTCTCACATCAACAACACTACGTGACAAGGCGTTTGAGGAAGGTTTCAGAGGAAACAACCAATGGGAAACCCACAGCACTGTGATGATGGGGATCCTCCCGTGCTGATCTGTACTAACCATCCTGGATCCCTGTCCCTTATACATTCCCCTGACTCCTTCTGCAGGCTAAAACCATCACCTATCTACCTAGTTTGGGTTTTAGCATGCAAGTAAATCTGTTACGGGTGAATTGATTAAAAAGTGAGCCAGAGGCTTCAATCACAGAGAACACGGTCCATGACTTATCATTCCCCCACAGCAAACATGTGGCACCATGCTGGACTTGTGGTGGTCATGGGGAAAATATTTATGAGATTCCTTCTATGACTTGGCCTGTGTTAACACTGTATAGATAAACACCCTCACCCTGACTAGCATCACAGGACCACCCAGGGATGATCCAGTACCTCACAGTCTCCTTAGGTGGGGACCAGAAAAGGGGCAACTCAAGAAGTTCTGATAATTTCTGTCTGTGCTTCCAAATTCAGCTGCATCTTGTCCCCTCACTGGAGCCTCACATCACAGCTGTGGAAACAGAAGTCCGTGTTCTCTAGCATTTTGTGACTCCACACCACCCCTGCCTAGCCTTTGTCCATCACTTCACCCTGCCTGTCCATTCTTCTTCATCCAGACACACCCAAGGCAGCAGGAAACACCCCCCTCCAGGCTTGGGCTGGAGGAATTGTTCCATCTCACTTTCCCCACTGGTCCCAACCTGAAAGCTGTTGAGATGCTTGTTCCTACACATGGTACCTTCTGATTTTATCCAAGGGGATGTGAGAGCCAATAGGTTCCTGCAACAACCTTGGCTTTGCCTAACATGATCCCTTCCCACTGCTTCCCCAAGGCTGGCTTCAATAATTTATTGCTGCAATTAATTTCTGAAGGTTATGATAGACTTGAAGATGCTTCTCCAACAGGCCCCTGCCAAGTAGATATTACTAGCCACTGGGATTGTTTAAGTCGCTTTCTCTAGGCTCCTCCGTAATTAATCATCAAGACACAAAATGCTAATGGTCATAAAAGCCTTAGATACAATAAATTTTGTGGTTGAGGCCAAGTTTTATCTTGTTTTTTTTTTTTTCCAAGTCCATTTCTGTAATTATAGAACACGACATGGATGCTCTGTTTCTGGGAGTGTTTGCATTTGTATACTCCAGGGGTAACTAGTACCACCTGGGCTCAGCACGAATTGGATGGAAGCTTAGGTCAGGGGTTCTCAACCTTCCTAAGGCTGCAACCCTTTCACACAGTTAGTTCCTCATGTTGTGGTGACCCCCGACCATAAAATTATTTCATTGCTACTTCATAACTGTAATTATGCTACTGTTATGAATTGTAACATGAATATCTGATATGCAGGATATATGATATGTGGCCCCTGTGAAAGGATTGCTCCACCCCCAAAGGATCGAGACACACAGGTTGAGAACCACTGGCTTAGGTGAAAACTAGATATTACTTTATTTACTCCTCAAACCCCAAGGAACTAGACTTCACAGTCTGCATTTTAACTTTTAAGTCACCGAGGCTGCTCAGTAAGTAACAGGCTGACACTCAACTTGAGCGACTTCACAGGTCCCATTTGTGGCCACTCTGCTTTGTGTCCTCTATTAAGGAACAACGTCTTGGCCCCTTCTACGTCATGTTTTCTCGTCTTTTAAAAATCACAGATAAGGAGAGAAGAAGCCCGGAGAGGCCAAGCAGTTTGTGACGAGTTGCTCAGCTTGTTGATAGTGACAGCAAAACTCAATCACAAGCCTTGGGAGATGCCAAACAGTCAGGTATCCGAAGAGGAGAATTCAAACACATAATGCAACTGAGGTCACTATATGTATTACTGATGGACAGATATAATATACACTTGTAAAGTAACAGTGAGAGATAAAATATCCCTTATCCCAATTTCATAGAGCCAGGTGTTTTTGTTTCATTGTTTTAAGGTTCTTGCTGTGTAACCCAGCTGCCCCTGAGCTCATTCTGCAACCCAGGCTGGCCTTAAACTTAAGGTCCTCCTGCCTCCCACTCCTGAGTGTTGGGATGACAGGCATGAGCTACCATATCCAGCTCTGATTGGCTTTTCCCAAGCTCTTGCATCCACAGCTAAATCACATCTTCCAGGGTATAACGACATGAAACATTTCTCAGCTAAGCTGAAAACTAGTTTTCTAGACACGTGTTTCCTTAGGCCCACTCTTCAGAATGTAATGCCTACGAACATTATACAACTATAAGTAGGGTATGCTCAGTTAACACTTTCTCTAAAACTTTCTTAAGTCCGGACAAATGGCAAAACAATAAGTTCTCTGATTCTGCAACATTTTACTTAGTGGAAGGAAATACTCCCAGCATGCCCGTCTTCAAGTACCAGAGTGCTCATGAACATAGAATTGGAAGAGTTGTCATTTCATAGCATGGGAAATAACCTCAATGGGACTTATAATAGCACACTCACAGGAAGCGAGGTGTTGGTGTTCCTCATCTTTGTTTTGATATGACTTAACTGTACAATTCTATAATGTATTTTTAACGATGTCTATATTCAACAACCAGCATACAAAACTCTTGCCCATTTAACAACCAGGTCTTACAGTGCAGTACAAGCCATTCCTGCACATTTCAAACAGACCTATGAAACATCCTCTTCTCCAAGAAGCATAGCTTCAACGTCACATAACATTGTATCCTTAGGTTCTTCAGGGTTTGGTCCTAAAATAGTCAAGTCCAGGTCCATTAGCTTCCACAGCTGTGCTCCGCTCCCTCCCCCAGTCGCCTCTCCAGACATAAGCCCCTGGCTAGTGATGGGAGCACTAAACATTGAAAAGGACTGAACCAGTCTCTCTTGGCAGATGGTGCTGATTACAGTACTGGCCACCAGAGGGCAGACATGCCAGTCACCTCCCAGTGAAAAGCCTCCTCCTCTTGCTAGGAGGGCAAAGTCTTCAAGGTAGACCTGGTGGGTCCTCTGGTCTGACGGACAGGAAACTCTTCCCAGCATTGGAGAACATCTGGGCTTTGTCAGGAAAATAACAAAACATCCCCTCTCTAATGTCCCATTGCACAGTAGAAACGAAGTGTGCATTAGAAGCTATGCCTCAAAGTTTTTAACAAATAATAATTTTTAAAAACAGGAAACATGCCTTGACATGCTCTAACTCATGTATCCCACATATAAATGTTGGGTAAGTATAAGAAATCACCCATTCCCCAGTCCAGGAGTTTGTTTCATTACTACTTACTGACCCCATAGTGAATAACAAGAGTCAAGGTCAGGCTGGGGGTGTGGTTGGGTGAGCAGAATGCTGACTTAGCATGACTCAAAGTCCTGAGTTTGATCTGTACACTGCTAAAAACAAATTTTAAAGGTCAGTCTGGAAAGAAAAAAAAAAGATTCCATTCCGAATCTTCTCTCTCTCTCTTTTTTTTTCCATTATTGCAAATACCTGACCTGTTAGCGCTTTGTTAAACAAGGCCCCCTAATGGAAGACAAAGAACCTTGCTGGATTTTAGTCTAATTGCCACCAAAGCTGACAGCTATGTGATGAGCTACTTCACCCGTGTGGTCCTGTTTGCTTACCCTGAAGGTCACCCAGACCACTTCCCTTGTGAAATGTTGATGTCTAAACCAGTAGCATGGGAAGGCCCTCGACATGGATGGTTTGTTAGCATACACATCTGTTGTGGCTGACAGAGTGCAGGGCTGTCCAGGACTTTGGTTTTTCTATGCCACATAGGGCAAACAAAATTTCATTGTCTAGAGCTGCGCAGGAAACCCGTATTCAACCTGCAGCTCATGGCTTGTGGATGCTTACTTCCATTTACATTGCCTAACACTGCAACCCAACAAGCTACCTGGAGCCACAGGCAGCCCCAGGCCACAAACTGGATAACTGTAGTTTGTTGTTATTGTTGATAGAATTACTATTAAAATTTTAAGAAAGGAGAGAGAGTACTAAACAATGCTAGAGAAAGACCAACATTTTAATAGCAACACAGGATACGCAGATAGAGTATCAGAAAGATTAGCCATATTTACCACAAAAGACCCTCACCAGCTTCCTACAAGCATGAGCGCCCCATCTAGAGTGGTATTACAAGGTGTGGGGGCAGTGCCCACTGTTGGTGAGAACCCAAGTTGGCACAGCCATCTGGGAAACCAGTTTAGTATTTCCTCTAGAACCTAAAATTAGAACCAGCCTGCGACTCAGGAATCCCACTTGTAGTATCCATCAAGGGCATTGAAATTAGGATCCTGAAGAGCTGTCTCCACTCTGAGTCTCAAGCACTATCCACAAAGCAAAGCATGGGAGTAATCTGTCTGTACAGAGCAGCCTGGGTAAAGAGACTGTATACATAGATTCATTGGAGTTTTATTCGGCCCCACAAGAAGGAAAGCCTACCATCTGTGACCACATGGATGGTCCTGGAAGACATCATGCTGGGTGAAACAAGACACATTCAGATGAAACTCTATGTGCTGTCACTGAGAGGAACTTTAAATAACAAAACTCATGGTAGCAGGAAGCACAAGGTGGTTTCCGGGAGCAACAAGATGGATGGTGAGAGGGTGATGTTCAGAGGTCCTTGAGAGTCACACCACTCACAGTGACATCTACTTGTGGGGCGTTAAATTTCCCCACATCTCGGACTCTTCGTTTCCATTGGCCAGGATGAGAATACAATAAGACCCCCCAAACTAAACTGTTCAGCATCAGACTGGGTAACTGGTGAGATCCCAATAAGCATCATGATCAATGTCATCAATCCTGTTAAATACAGGAGTGGTTTCCATAGAAGCATATGTAAGAGTATTTGATGATATTTCCCACGGGGTTCACTGTTTTTTCCATCTTATATTTTAGGATTCAAATACACAGAGGTGAACAAGGTGAGTGAAAAATGTTAAAATGTACTTGTTACTCTTTGAAGTATGCCCTAGGGTTTCAGTCATCATTTTCCATTTCCATTTGTAAACCAAAACATTCCTAACCACTGGCTCTGCCCAAGAACAGTGAATTTAACTCCTGGTTCTCTTTCCTTTTGCAGATTCCTGTGCCGCCTCCCCGGTAAGACATTTAAAATCATATTTGTGGGACCAGAGCGATGGTTCAGAGGTCAAGAGCACTGACTGTTCTTGCAAGGGAACCAGTTTCAATTCCCAGCACCCACATGGTGGCTCACAACCACCTGTAACTTCAATCCCAGGGGATCTGGTGCCTCCACAGGCCCTGTGCACGGGAACACGGTGCACAGACAACACACAGTCAAAGCACTCAGACGCATAAAATAAATTTTTTAAATGTATTTTCTTGTCACAAACTTGAAGGGTTTGTGCCAGCTCCTGCAAAAGAGAAGCACACACATTTGGCCTTGGAGGAGCTGGTCTGTGGATAACAGCCAGCCTCCACTCTCCGGCACTTATCTTTCTTAGTGTTGATGTTTGAAACAAGTCACGTCTGCTGTTTACATTTACTTATTTGTGGTGGCTAGTGTGACATGGGGAGGCCAGAGGGCAATGTATGGGAGTTGATTCTCTATTTCCACTCTGTGGGTCCTGGGGATCAAACATGGGTCTTGAGCCTCGACATCAAGCACCTTTACCTGCCGAGCCATCTTACCAGCCCAAGACCACGCTGGTCAAGTATGCATGTAGCAGGCAATGTTAAAGGGCCTAACAATATCCCACAACCTTCTAATTACCATGAAGTTATCCATCCCCCCCAAATCCATTTCTAGCAACAGTATCTCTACACTTGCTATTCCTTCTTCCCAGAATCTCGCTCCCTAATTATCAACATGGTATGTTCCTTTCTTTAGCAAAAAAAAAAAAAAAAAAAAAAAAAAAAATCAAAAAACAAAATCAGACAGAGCGTGTTTTAGGTACATCTGGCTGCCCAGACTCATGAGGTCAAGACAGACCCAACATAGAAATCAGTAGGTCAGTAATCAACCAGAAATTTGAATTTTCATAAATAAATTGACTTACAATTTAAGGACTTATAATGTATAAACATACGTTCATGTAAGTCCGTATGTTTATATATCACATATAGAGTACTGCTGATTATTGCTATATTTATACACACGGAGGTGAGAGCTGCAGACTGGGCCACTGGGGCTCTGAGTGGGTTGGTGAATGCCTTTGCTTTACTGAGACCACTGTGTCCCTCAGCCAAGCACGTCAATCACTTCACTCCTGACTGCTCCCTTGCATGGAGTGGGGGCTTTCTTAGTCTCCCCCTTAACCTGGACTGTCTACTTGTCCTCTTTTTCCTCTATAGACCCACACAAACTCCTTAGCAAAGCGCCCTTTCTCATCTGGACAGTCCTCTCCATCTGTCCCCATGTCCCTTAGCCTAGCACCTGGGAAAGAACACAGATCTCCTCAGTAACTCCAAAATCCTGGGTAGAAATTCTGCTTCTTACGACCCAGCACTGTTTGTATAAGCTTGGGAGTTAAAGAGTCTGGCTGGAGGAAGTGGGGTGTTGGCAGGCAGGCACTGGAGGTTATAGGTTTAGGGCAGCTGTTCTCAACTGTCGGTGAGTTTATTCTTGCTCTCGATGGGGTCAGTCCATGATATCTAGAGAAACTTGGAGTTGGGACCACTTGGAGGAGAGGCAGGGAGGCTGCATGGCTTTCCACAGTGGGCAGCAGAGCCCATCACAAAGGGCAATGGATCATGCCTTAGGATGTCCAGCAACATACTGTGTAGACCTTTCCTGAAGCCAAGGACAGGTAAAAGAAGGGTACTGTGCCATATACCCCATAGGCTAATGTGAGAATTGACTCCCATGAAGCGCTCAACAGCACAGATTAAAATTATGGCAATGAACCATAACATGGAATAGATTTTATTTTTAATCTGTCTGCCCTTGGCATTCGCTCTTCCTATAGTATACCAAGACTCTAGCCAGCCACATCCACTCAAAAGGGAAAGTTTAACCAGTTTCCGTGTTCATGTTTCTTGGCACGGTGCCTGATATGGACAGCAGTAGATGTTGACTAAGTAAGTAGTTGAGAAGTTGCAGCAGCTTCCAAAGATACCCATTGTATTAGTTACTTTTCTGTTGCTGGGATGAAAGATCATGACCAAAAAAGGCTTTTTTTCAACTTTTTTTGAGATATTATTATATCACTCGTCATTTCTCTTTTCCCTCCAAACCCTCTCATGTACCCTTCCTCTGTTTCAAATGCATGACTTTTTTGTTAACTGTTGTTACATTCACATATGCATATGAAATATACCCTGCTCAGTTTGTAAATGTTACTTGTGTGTACATTTTTTCTGGGCTGACCATTTGGTTTTGGGTAACTAGTTGCTGTGATCTTCCCTGGGGAAGACTATTTCTCCCACTCTCAGAATTTCTTCGTTTCCTATAATTCTTTGGGTAGGGTTGAAGCCATGTGATCTCCTCCTCTGCCCCCACCCCATCTACTTTGTTCTATCTATTGTTGTTGTCCTTACTCAGATTATGTTTAGGAAGTCATGTCAGTGGGACTTTATGGGTGTAATTTCTGACATTCCTAGGAGACACAATCTCACAGCAAACTCTCTGATCCTCTGGCTCTCACAGTCTTTCTATCCCCTCTTCCTCAATGTTGCCTGAGCCTTAGGTGAGGGATTTTTTCTGTAGATGTAGTCGCTGGGACTGGGCTTCTCAACTCTACATTGGTTGTGGTTTTCTGTAGTGGTCTCTGTCTGTTGCAATGAGACATTTCCTTGGTAAAGGATGAGGATTACAAGTATCTATGGGCAGAAGGACAAATGTTTGGAAGGCATTAGGGATTATGCTGATTTAGAAAAATGACAGTAGTTGGCTTTCCTCCCAGATCCATTAGCTCACTAGTCTTGGGTGGTTGGCTGGGTTTCTAGTGTCAGTATGGTTTCCCTCTTGTTTACTGGGTCTTAAGTCCAACTATAGAACTGTTGGTTACCACCAAGATATGTGTGCCATTACTGTACCCTTAGGGTTATTATGCCATGGTGGTCATTGATGTGGTCCATAGGCATTATAGCTGGGTAGGACTGTTGGTTGCTTCTCTCTTTTGGAAGCTTGCATGGTACCTTCTCACACCATGAAAGCTAGTCCTCAGGGAGGAGGTATTCAGGTCAGTGCAGTTCAAGAGCCTCTGGGCTCTGTATCTGAAGTCCATGGTGTCTTCAGCAACAGGAACTTCCTTTCCACCTTTGAGGGTCAACAGAGGGCAATAGCAGCAGCCTGTTTTATTCTATATTTTAGAAGCCTCTTGAACAACCCTGATCAACAACTCAAAAGACAGTTTGTCACGCCTGGTGTTGGGGTTTTTATTAGATGGTTTTTGACTCTTGGAGAGGGCATTGTCATCCCAGATGAGAAATTTTTATTTAAACTATATGTGAATTTTTATATGCTGATTTACATGCATTATAAATATTTTTAGGTAGCTAGTTAATAGTATTAGTCCTTATTATTTTTTTAGATATCTTTACTGCTATTTTTCCTTTCTCCCTCCATCATGCTCTGGTTTCCAATGTCTGGGATAATGCCCTTGATTTCTGGAGAATCCCTCTGCAGTGGGTCATATCAGTCTCTGTACTAAGTCTCTTAGTCATGGAGCTTTGATACATTTTTAACATATTGGATTATTTCATTAAGAGTTTCCTGGAGCTAAAGAGATGAATTAGCAGTTAAGAGCTCATACCTAAAAACTTATACTGTTCTCGTAAGGGATCCAAGTTCATTTCCCAGCACTACATGGTGGGTCATAGTCATCTGTAAACTCCAGTTCCAGAGAACCTAATGCCATCTTCTGGCCTCTGGGGGCTTCCTACATTCGTGTGATGCACATAAATTCATGCAGGCAAAATACTCATACATAAAAAAAATTGTCATCTTTTTTTAAAAAGAATTTTCTAAGTGGAAAATTTTATGTTTCCAGTTCTGATATTGTCACTTTATTGAGTCCCATGGATTTCTGGGGTCCCTGAGAACATAGTTTATATTTACTTCATTATGTTTAGACATGATAAGACCTGGGCAAGATCTTTCCATCACAAACAGCTCCAAAGAACAATTACGTGTGGTCTCATTGACTCCTGCCAGCAGAGCTGGAAAGGATGATTTTTCCAAGATTGAGAACAGGTGCCCAGGCCAGCAGATGGCACATAGTCTCAGTAAATGTTACATCCATAAATCACCGTAGTTCAGAAAGCAAACCAGGTGGGCACCTTGATGAGGTGCACACAGGCAAAGTCCCAGAGGAAACTGGGGACATGGCCGTGAACAAGAGGGTTTTACTACAGGAAAAGAGCAGTGCTCTCAAATTCACTTCCTTTCAGGCCCTCATGAGTAGCCAGACAGCATTACTGGTGATTCAGGTCACACATAAACAGTGAGGCCACTGCTGTGTAAACTGAGTCCTAGAGCTCTGAGCATCAGGAAGGACTACACAAGATGCCCTGCCTCTCTTTCTAGCAGCTTCTCTGTAAGGCACTTGGGAAGAGGTGCCCAAAGGTGGAGGCTGTGAGTTCTGGCTCCTAGGGTACCAACTGCAGGCAATGTAGTGTGGCCTCCACCACTGCCTTTGCTCAGTGTGGATGGTAGGTGTGGTTCCAGCTATTGTCTGTCAGGCCCCCATTTGTCTCTCCCAGCTCTACCACACTCTCTTTGACAGCTAAGTCTTGACTTCACAAAACAATGCTGGGTGGGAGCCCTTCAGTGAAGGACGATGTCATTTAGGATCTTGTCAACAACCAAACACTAGAGGAGAACTTGGCATTGTGAGAAACACTGACTGGATATTTTCAACAATTAATGCTATGAAACTGACAATATCCACGCACATTTTTTTTTTGCTCAACTTATTTTTTTCCAATTAAAATAATTTTTCTCAAAAGAGAGACATACATCCCATCCATAAACAACTGCAATGAGAGCTGTTTCAAACCAGAACTTTGAACCCAGAAAAATGTCTTTCTGTTACAAAGGAAGACAGCGCATGTTGAATAGGCATTTGGGACTTTCTAATCCACATAGGCAGACCCTCCCCTTGACAAAACCTTAAAGAAAACAAAAAGGGGACTAA